TAGATAGATAGATAGATAGATAGATAGATAGATAGATAGATAGATAGATAGATAGATATAGATAGATAGACAGATAGATAGATGATAAGACATAATCCAAGACATGACTACTTATTCCATAACAACCATATTATATTTTAGCACTTCTCAATTATCTCTTCTTACATTCGTTTGGGAAGCCTGGAAGGAGGAGTCTTAGTATATCTCTCCTTCATATGCACTCCTTGGCAGTGGTAGCAGTTCTTTCCCTTGTCCGACAATAGCAATGTGAAATTAACAACTTAACAGCTTCAGCTATTGATATGTGTCAAGCACATGTATTAACCTAGAGTCATATTTATGTTCACTCTGTTTTTTTAAAATATCTCTTTTGGGAGCCAAAAGGAACTCCAACAGAGAAATGGAGTGAAAGGACCCTGGTGGCGCAGTTTTTAGAATGCATATTGCAGGCTAACTCTGCCCACAGCCAAGAGTTTGATCCCGATGAACTCAGCTTTCCATCCTTCCAAGGTCAATAAAATGAGGGTCCAGATTCTTGAGGATAATATAACATTATATTATATGACACTATAAACCCTCAGGAAATGCTGTAAAGCACTATGGGGCAGTATATAAGTGCTGATGCTATTCCTAAATCCTGGCTCAGCATTGGGGCCTAGTCACAGAAGGTGGCCTTACCAGACAGCTGTAGCCAGAAGTATGTTGGAGTTGTTGCTGAAGTAATCAATAGGGGATTCTCCAAGCAGGAGATCAGCAAGGATATAGCTGCCAAAACAGTACAGCATAGCACAGACCCAAGAGGCCAAGGGGCTGTTCCGGGACAGTTCCACCGCACCTGTAGAGATAGAAGACGGAGAAAACTATGGGTTCAAATCCAGCTGCCCTAGGTTGAAAAACCCCGAAACAACGCACTTCAGTCCTGGCTGTTTACTTCTGTTGTGAAGCCTGTCGGCTACTTCTTAATAGATATTTAATCACCTTTCTCTCGAGTAGGAGAGTTCCTACTTAATAGCACAAAGAATAGGGAAATCTCTTCTCAGCCATACATGGTAGACTTGGAAGATACCCCTCCTAGGAGGGCTAAAACATTTTGTTATTGAGATTGGCTATAAAAACAGAATTTTGTGCATCTGATACTGTTGTATCTCCTCCCCCCTTTTTAGTGAATCAGGCAGGAATGTGCTTGAGCCTCTTTTGAATGTTATCTCATGGCTCTGGATGAGCTTTAAAAATGTTGGATCCCCTTTTTGCCTAGGTTTTTTTCTTGCATATTTTCACTAAGGTCACCTTCCTGAGTCTCTATATTTCTTCAGCCCCTCCTTCTCTTTCTAGAGAGAAAACTGTTATTTAAAATCCAAAGCCTCAGGAAGCTAAGGATTGAGCATGGAATTGGAACCTCTAAAAATGATTGCAAATCAACAAGAAACCAGGAAAATTCAGGGACGCAAACGGGATCCTTTCGCCTAGAGTTTGGGGTATTTTTAAGGCAATGTTTCTCAATCTCAGCAGCTTTCAGATGTAGCAACTTCAGCTGTCGGATGTTGGCTAGGGAATTCTGGGCATGGAAGTCTACACATCTTAAAGACTTTGAAGTTGAGAAACACTGCTTTGAGGAATAGGTTAATGTTTTTAGCTTTTAAAAAAATATGATTTTATGCTTTAACTTGGATATATCTGTCTGTCTGTCTGTCTTTCTTTCTATATTTATTTATTTATAAAATTTATTAGCCACTTATATTGCTACACTGTATTTATTGATTCAGATGCACTGATTGTGAGGTGGGTTGGGCTGAAATGAGAATAACTGGGCCAAAGTCATCCAGATAGTTTTTGATGCCTATGGTGGGACTAGAACTCACAGTCTCCTAGTCATTAGGCCAGCACCTTAACCATAGACCAATCTGAATTTTGTCAGTTCAGAGCAGGTAGCAGATTCAGTCAAAAAAAATAAAAAGAGGTTACCTCCCGCCCCCAAAAGATGTTACCAAACCTGTGGGCAACGCTCCTGAGCAAGCTATTCTAATGTTGGCACTGTTGCTTCTTTCTGTCCAATGCTCGCTACCATCATGGGCCTTTGTTCTCAAGCAAAAGTTCCATAAATATGTAGCTTGTGTGCTGATTTGTTTAAAATGTAGTATTTAACTTTGTCAACTTATGATACAACCCAAGGATGGGCTACCTATACATCCCAGAGTGATGCATCCGATGGTATTATAAAATCTTCCGGCTTGGCTCCTGGGACTAAATAAGGGGTGTGCATAAACGCACAATCATGCCTACCATCCCTGTCCTATTGTCCCCAATTATTAGTTCCTATTTCTTGTATTTAAATTTATGTTTGTTCTTGTTTCTGTTATATTGTAAGCTCTTGACAAATAAAATAAATAAAAATAAATAAATAAATACATGGATAAGCTCGGCAATAATATTGGAAACAATGCTCCATAATCAATATGTTGACTGTCAAAGTATCATCCAGCCCTTCATTGTCTCTGTAAGTCCTATCAACTTTGGCAGGTTCAAATGAATGAACCAGCCAATGCATAGTACAGGTAGTCCTGGACTTACAACCACAACTGAGCCCAAAATTTATGTTGCTTGAGAAAGTGAGAAATTTATTAAGTAAGTTTTGTCCCATTTTACAACTTTATTTTTCACGTTTGTTAAGTAAATCATTTCTTCTTGTGCCATATCTGTCATCGGACGTTGGCGATCATATTTTTATTAACAGTCGCATGAAAAAGTGCTGCTGAGTTTTCACCAAAGCAGCCTCTTCAATTTTGAAGCCATGATCTTCTTCTTCTGCCTGAACCTCGTTTGCCTTCAATCTTTCCCTGGAGGAGTAAGTGAAGTAGGCCATATTTTTCTGGGTCGCATGTCACATCGCATGTCCAAAATATTCTTAACTTTTGCTTTTTTATGGTTTTGATGATTTTCTTTGGCTTTCCTAGTAAATCACTGCAGTTGTTAAATTAGTAACACGGTTGTTAAGCGAATCTGGCTTCCCCATTGACTTTGCTTCTCAGAAGGTGATCACTTGACCCTGGGGCATAGCAATAGTCATAAATATGAGTCAGTGGTCTAAATCGAATCTTGATTGTGTGATCATGGGGATACTGCAATGGCCATAAGTGTGAAAAATTGTCATAAGTCAGTTTTTTTCAGTGCCTTTGTTAACATTGAATGGTCACTAAACGAAGTCGAGGGTTACCTGTACCTCAGAGCAGCTGTTCTCACCTCTGCAGCCATTAGAAAGGAATTTGGATTCCCTCTTCCAAGGAAACTGATATGTTTGCTATGGTCTAAAAATAAAGTGGGAGTAGGAAGAACTGTTCACAAGATACCCTACAGATCTTTAATCCATAAAAGAACTACGGTATCAGGAATTATTTTTGCCTTATAGAAATTATGAGAAGGATCTCAGTTGTCCTGATGAATCACCCCTTAAAAGTCTGAGTCAGCAGTCTGCAGCTGCCCAAAAAGCCAATGCAGTCCTTGGCTGCATCAACCAATCAAGGGAAATGAGCTTCCTGCTTCCTGCAAGGAGGTAGAGAAGGTTTGGTGATCCAGTGGAATAAAAACTGCCTTGTTTTAAACGTTGGAAAAACTAAAGAGATCATTATCAATTTCAGAAAAGGCAGGCACAGTCACACTCCTGGGTATAAAGGATTCACCTGTGGAGATAATTAGCAACCTCAAATTTCTGGCTGTGCAGCTAATGAGTAGGCTGGCTTGGTCGCTCAACAGTGAGACACACAGGGGTGGTATTCAGCAGGTTCTGACCAGTTCTGGAGAACCCGCAGTAGAAATTTTGAGTAGTTCGGAGAACTGGCAAATGCCACCTCTGACTGGCCCTGCCCCCATCTATTCTCTGCCTCCCGAGTCCCAGCTGATCGTCTTCTTTTGTTGCCCTGCACAGAAGAACGGAGCTGGAAAGCAGGTCAGTGGGGTGGGGAAGGAATGGGTATTTTACAGTATCCTTCCCCCAGGAGTGGGGATTTTGCAGTAATCTCCCCCTGCCAAGCCGACGAAGCCACGCCCACAGAACCGGACTCAGCAGTGCCTGTATTTTCTGCGTCAGATGAGAAAAGTACATCTTCCTCCCCCTGTCCTCACCACTTTCTACAGAGGGATTGATCGAGAGTACCTTGTCCTATTGGATTAGTATCTGGTTTGGAAACACTACTGCTTCAGACAGGAATGTGGATCAGAGAGTGGTGAGGATGGCAAAAAAGATCATTGGCAGTTCACTCCTTAATATCCAGGACATAGCACTTAAGTGATGCTGGAGGAGCATCCGCAGGATTGTCTGGGATGCCACACGTCCTATTCATGTCTTGTTTTCCTTGTTACCTTCTAGGAGGCAGCTTCATGGTATCTGAAGCAGAACATCCAGATTCAGCCACAGCTTTGTTCCATACAGTATCAACCTTGTGAACTCTCAAGCTTCCTCTTTCCACTCTGTATTCAAGATGGAGAGCGATTTATATGTATTTATATGTTAGGTTAGGGCAGGGGTCTTCAAACTTGACAGCGTTAAGACTTGTGGACTTCAACTCCCAGAATTCCTCCTCCAGTCATGTTAGCTCAGGAATTTTGGGAATTGAAGTCCACAAGTCTTAAACTTTCCAAGCTTGAAGACCCTTGGGTTAGGAGGTAGTTATATACATATGAATGTGTACAGCATATCTATATATGTGTTATGTATGTGTACATTTTTGAGAGCAGGCAACAAAATTTCTTTTTTAATGTGTGCCAGAGTGCCCACAGGAAAAAAATGACAATAAAGGTTATCTTAAATGGTAGCACTGCTCTATATCACACTGGAGAGGTCACACTTTGAATATTCCATCCAATTCTGGCCACCATGACACAAAAAAAGATGCTGAAGCCCTAGAAAGAGTGCAGAGAAAAGCAACAAAGATGATAAGGGTCTGGAGATGGCATCCAATGAAGAAAGCTAAAGGAACAAGGTATGCTTAGCTTAACAAAGAGAAAGCTCATAGGATAGGGGTTTCCAACCTTGGCAACTTGTGGACTTCAACTCCCAACTTCCTCAGCTTCGCTGACTGAGGAACTCTGGGAATTGAAGTCCACAACTCTTAAAGTTGCCAAGGTTGGAGACCCCTGTCGTAGGAGACATGTTGATAGCAGTCTTCTAATACATGAAGGGCTGCCCCAGGGAAGAAGGAGTTGGTTTAGCCTCCAAAGCACCTAAATGCAGAATAAGAAGCTATGGATAGAAGCCCATTAGGGAGATCCAATCTGGAACTAAGAAGAAATTTCCTGACAGTGACAACAATTAGCCAACGGAACAGCTTGTCTCCCAGAGTTGTGGGTGCTCCATCACTGAAGGCTTTCAAGAAAAGATTGGACAACCCTTTGTCCAAGATGGCAAAAGACAATTACTACTTGGGCAGGGGGTTGAACTAAAAGATCTCCAAAATTCCAGATCCCTTCCAACCCATGATTCAATTATTCTAACCTGTGTTCCATTTTATAGTCCAGGGAATAGGGAGGCTGAGGGAATCTTGAATAGGGAATGTGCAAACATTTGAACGTTGATTTCTTTTGTTCAAGAAGGAGGTGTGCAAATATTGTCTTTTAGGGTGAGGTTTGCACTTGATTTCTGAATGACATTCCCAAAAGAAGGAAACAGCAAACACTTCCACCCTATTGTAGGGAAAATTATATGGATATTTCCAGGTAGGTGCCAAGAATAAAGATTCAGTCTAAAATGTGTGTTTTCTTTTCCTTTTCCCCCCCATTTTCTATACATGCTATGCAAGATGCATTCAAAAAGTGGGCAAGACCAGGATAAGATAGGAGCCTCTGTGGCACAGTGGTTAGAGTGCAGTATTGCAAGCTACTTCTGCAGCCTGCTGCCTACAATTTGGCAGTTCAAATATCACCAAACTCAAGGTTGACTCAGCCTTCCATCCTTCCGAGGTGGGTAAAATGAGGACCCAAAATTGTTGGGGGCAATATGCTGACTCTGTAAACCACTTAGAGAGGGCTGTAAAGCATTATAAAGCAGTATATAAGTGCTATTGCTATAAGAGAAATAAGCAATGTGAGAGGAAAACATGACTAACTTAATTGAACACACTTCAAATGCTAAACCTGTTTTTCCTTTTGTCACAGTTAAAAGTATAAGTTAGCAATGTTTTGGAGGTTGTCTGGAGATTGTGCCCAGGGCTTTGGCAAAGGAAGTCAAGTAAGAGCCATAAGGTTTCTACGTTCTGATACTAATAGAACATATCAAATTTTGCATGTGGGAAATTTTCCAGTCACTGTTTAAGTTCTTCAAGAATGTGTAAAACAACCAATACATATTATCTGAAGCAAGTCAGGCCCTGGTGGATGGCCTAAAGAATTCCTTCTCTGCCCTCTATGCGAAGATGAAGCAGCTGCGAATCCATGCTATTAATTGCAGAAAGGAATCAGCAACTGGTGGTGGAGAGGAGTCACCAAGAAGCCAGGGATGCTATTGCAGGTATAATTAGCGAAATGACTTTCAGGGAAGGTGAACTGAGGGAAATGAGTCATTTCTGCCCAGAATTGAATGTTACATAATATGCAGAGCTTCTGAAAGTGGCCTGGAAGTTCTGGAGATTCTTCTAGAGCAGCAATGTCAAACTTGCATTGTCACGTCATCATCACGTGACTTTCGTGACTTCATCCCCCCTTCACTGAACCGGGCGTGGGTGTGGCCAGCGTGTGACACATTCGGCCCACAGGCCACAAGTTTGACCCCCCTGTTCTAGAGGAAGAATCTTATCTTTCTGATTAACCACCGTATTACTCCACTCCCTGCCAGACAGAGATAAAGGCTGGTTTGACTAGCGCAAGGTTAGGGAAATTTGGCTCTTTTATCACTTACGGACTTCAACTCCCAGAATTCCTGAGTGAGCCATAAAAGGTTCCCCATCCCTGGCCTACTGGTTTTTCAGTTGTGGGGGAAATCAATTTTTGACCTGAATGGGACTGTCTAATATACAAATGTAGGACATATGTTGAAGTCCATAAGTGATAAAAAAGTCAAGTTTCCCTACCCCTGGGCTAGCCTAAGGAAGGTTCTTTATATTGTCTGCCCCAGTGGTGGGATTCAATTCTTTTTACTACCGGTTCTGTGGGCGTGGCTTGGTGGGCGTGGCAGGGAAAGGATATTGTAAAATCTCCATTCCCTCCCAATCCCACTAACATGCTTTCCAGCTAGGTTCTCCTGTGCCGGGCAACAAAAGAAGACCCAGCCGATCAGCTGGAACTCAGGAGGCAGAGAATAGATGGGGTCAGGGCCAGTCAGAGGTTGTATTTGCCGGTTCTCCAAACTACTCAAAATTTCCGCTACCAGAACTGGTCAGAACCTGCTGAATACTATCTCTGGTCTGCACCTGAAAATAGGTGCTTTGGAAGAAGAGGAATCTGGATTTCTGCAGCTATTGTGCATTTTCAAGATGATATATGATTTTTCTGAAAGAAGGAACACTTTAATTGGAGTTACATCCTGCCTTTTCTTCAGCAACTCAAGATCATTTGGTCCTCTACTGTAATTATGCCTCACACTAGAGGTCTCCAAACCAAGGCAACTTTATGACTTGTGGACTTCAACTTCCAGAATTCCTCAGCCAGCTATGCTTGTGGACTTCAACTCCCAGAATTCCTCTGCCAGCTATGCTGGCTGAGGAATTCTGGGAGTTGAAATCCACAAGTCTTAAAGTTGCCAAGTTTGAGGACCCCTGCCTCACACTAACAACCTTGTGGTGTAGACAGGGCTAAGAAAGAAAGAAAGCCTTATTCAATGAACCTATTTGACTGATGATAAACTTGAACTTCAGAAGGAAGTTAGTGGATTTAAGCCCTAATGATATAATCTAAATCAGGGGTCTTCAAACTTGACAGCTTTAAGACTTGTGGACTTCAACTCTCAGAATTCCTCCTCTGTTCATGTTAACTCAGGAATTCTGGGAGTTGAAGTCCACAAGTCTTAAAGCTGTCAAGTTTGAAAACTTTTGATCATTCTAAATGAACGTTGTAAACAGTAAAGCAATAATTCAGTAGTCTATAAGTGTGACCAGGGTAGAGAAATGACTTTTGGTCATTGGTTATTTTAAAACATCATTTCCAAAATCCGTTACCATTAATAACCCAGCTTTATTCTTTTTACCAGAACCTCCCCACCTTTCCCTCTATGACCATACAGGCTCTCTTGCTAACAATAAGGACTAGTAACTCAGTATCAATACTCGTGACTTCTCAATTCTTAAAAACGACAGATTGTGAAATTGGCAAGTGTGGAAAATCAGAGGAGGCTGGAAAAACCTTTGGCAATTGCCTTGCTTTCTGTCTGAATCCTAATGATTAGATGATAATTGAGGTCCAATTCCTTTCTCTCCTTCCCAGCAATTCCCTCTCTGGCACTATTAAAGAGCCTGGCAATTCCTGCCGTTTTTAAGCCTTCACGGGCAGGAACCCAGCTTGTCCTTTCCGGGAGAAGGTCACCATCTGCATACATCCATCAAGCCAGGGGGCTCAGATGCAAGGGCTCAAGTTTCTCACAGACATCCATCCCTTTGGTGTGGATGAGAAGAGGAGAATATTCCCACTTGCTCATTTCTTATTTTAGAACTGTCTTTGGAATCAGGACTCTTAAATCTTCTCCTGCTGCTAAAGCAGTACTTTGAAATCCAGGCAAAGGGGACTCAACTGTACCAAAGACAACCCCTTCACAGCTGCCAGTTCATCAACCAGAGAACTGGACTGATTTATTTTGTTTATTTTAGTTTGTCAAGCATGTATGAGAAAACAAGTATAAGTATGAACATAACATATAAACATATGAGTATATACATAGCAATTGAGTACAAATACATGGGAACAGTAGGACAGGGAGGGTAAGCACACTGGTGCGCTTATGCACGCCCCCTTACAGACCTCTTAGGAACGGTCCACGATAGACAGTTTAAGGATAAAGTTTTGGGGGTTTGAGGATGTTGAGGTGGCCGATCTCCCTGGGGCCACTTTGCTTTCAGTCACTTTCTTTTCCCTCTTCCAATAGGTGAGGCAAATTTGAGGCCATTCAGCATTGATTGCACACCTCTCATCTTTTTCAAGACCACTAGATTCAAATAAAACCAAATCTGCTGGAGAGGAAAACCACTACAGTGGATTACCCCACTTGGCTACTGAGGAAGAAGGGAGATCATTCCTGCTTTGTTCTGTGAAGCCCTGGGTCACTTTTTCAAGACACCTTCCTGCCCTTTTCACCTCCTGCAACCCGTCTTTATCCCTCTTAATCTAGGCTGGTGGCCAAGCTCTAAAAGTTCTTTAGTGTTATGCAGACAGGCTCTGCCATTCTGGTCCTCATCCCAGGATATCCTCATCCCCGAGAATGGCGGGGGGTGGGGGTGGGGGGTGGGGGGGGAAGCTTTTGGGCCCAAATCACTGCCCACCCACTCATTTTGAACAAGCCCTTCCTGGAAGCCAAGTCAACCTGTAGAGGAAGAATGCCTTCAGGGGGATCTAAGGCAGGTGGGGTGGAGGCCGGGTGGAGGCATGGAACAAGAGCCAGGGCCAGCTGTCTCTGTTGACATTACAAGGACAAGGCTGGGTATGGATGAATAAATACCATTTATTCATCGATGGCATGAATACCATTATAATGCTAATAACAGACACGAAGCAGGTCAGTGGGTTAAAAAAAAATGGCAGAAAATTTCGCACCAGCCAAAAAAACGGGTTTCCTAGCCGTGGGAAAAAGAAGAGAGAGAAGAAAAAAAAACGCCTGTCCCGCCGGAAAGGAAGGGCGAAGGGGGGAGCTGGTTCTCCTCCCCGCTTACCTTTCTCATACTTGAGGTAGAGGAGGGAGACTATGAAGTAGCCCAAGTCGAAAACAGGGAAAACAGGCAGGCGGGCGAAGGCGGCGGCCAAATCGCCCAGATCCAGGGCCGCGATCAGGTCCATTGTTGGAAGGAGAACCGAGCGGCGAAAAGCGAGCCCCTCTGGAGCGCCCAGTGGCTGTAGTTGGTGCTACCGCTGTCTGGCAGAGCAAGGACGCAGCGGCCGCTCAAACCAAGGGAGGGAGAGAGTGGGATGGAGACGCCCCGCCGTCTTCCTTACTTGGCCTGCGGCTTGGAAGCGCCTCCGGGGGCCCCTTCGGGCAGCTGAGCATGTGCAGAGTGCAATTCCTTTCCCTCCCGCCGGGAAGACGATCCCATCTCTCTCCGGCCTTGCCTTCGACCGCCGTAAGCTCCCCAAACCTAGGGACCTAGCGTCCCCGCCTCCCGCGGCACCTTACGCCGTTGCTAAACGAGGCCAATCTCGTTTCTATTTTACAAGCCCGTGCCAATACATCAACGGCAGTGGGCGCCTAATGGTTTTACAGGAAAGGAGGACAACGGCAGTCCAGGGAGGGCCGGATCTCAGAGATGAAATCCGGGACTCCGCAATTAAAACCTCCGCTCCCCAAAAGGAGCGAGAGTGGCACAGCAGAAGCAAATACAACCAGTTACCAGGTTGATGGTACTTGCCGCGGCATTTTTAAAATAAAAATAAAAATCCTTTCATTAAAAGGCGGAAGGCAACGCTTGCCAATTCAGGCGAGGTTCTTCTGCGGCGATTCGGATTCTCTTTCGTTAAATCAGGATTAATAATATTAGTCCCCTTCCCAAGCGCTCGATGTCAGACAAACTACATCGGGAATCGAGACCGCAATCTCTGCGCGTTCTTGCCTCTTTGCGCAAATTGCCAGCCAGGGTCTCTTCTGTTGACCCCCACCTGAAGGGCTTAATGGTAGACATTTGCTCCCGAGCTTCTGGCGCAGATCTTCTATGCGGAATTTCCTCTTACTCCGTAATCCCAACGGTGCTTTTTCAGGAGGCGACTGGACTTTCTTGTTTTTTTTCTTTGAAGACGTTTCGTTTCTCATCCAAGAAGCTTCTTCCGCTCTGACAGGATAGCGGGGAATGGAAGGATTTTTTTCCTTGCAGATGGCTGGTCATTTGCATTCTTTTAGAGGGTCGTTGAAGCACTTGGAGGTTTACTTGTGTCCTCAAGGGTCAACTGAGTAGTGCTCCTAGTTTCTGTAGTCTGCATTTTTTTTTCCTCTGGAAATCCATTCCCATTCCCACATCATTTAAAGGGAGTTCACCCCAAATTGTAGAGCTGAACGTCTGTAGAGATTCTCAGTCCACGACCTGGATGACTGAGAATCTCTACAGACTCTTACTCCCTATTACACACAGCGAAGTGACTGCCAATAGAAAAGAATATTTGTAGCTCAGGTTTGAACTGTGAGGACCTTGGTGCTTTCTGAGCTTGGCTGGTTTCTTGCAGACCTTTCATTACCAAACTAGATAACATTATCAGTGCTGGTAAAGAGTGGGGTTTGCTCTCATTTTATATTCTAGTGGCTTGCTCTATCAGTGGAGGTGGGTTTTTTTAATTGGGCTATCGTTTACTGTTAATTTGTCTGACTTGATACCGTAGTACCTTGATTGGAGCATCGTTTGATTCTCAATTGTTGGTCTAATGTTGATCTTGGTGTTGGTCTCTGTTCATCTGGGGGTTGGGCTGGTGAGGAGTGTCTATGGAGATTCTCAACCATCCAGGTCATAGTTGTCCCAAAGGTGCTCTTCAAAAGGAAACGGGACTTGCTTGGTTTTTCCTTGAAGACGTTTCGCTTCTCATCGATGAAGTGAACTGAAGAAGCTTCTTGGATGAGAAGCGAAACGTTTCAAGGGGGGTGGAAATAAGAAAGCCCAGTTGCTTTTTGAAAAGCGCCTTTGGGACAAGCGGGTGAAGCGGTGCGTTGGTCTTTTTGGCGTTTTAACAGATAACAGATAATCAGAGTTGGAAGGGACCTTATAGGTCATCTAGTCCACCCCCCCCTCCCCCGCCCAAGCGGGAGACCCTACACCATTTCTGACAGATGACACCATTTCTGACAGATGACTGTTTGCCCATAAACCTCAGGAGGCAAGAAGGATAAATCCTTTTAAAAACCATATTTAAAGGTAGACTGCCTCTGAGCGTGCAGGTTCCGCCGGTACATCACGACCAAGAGCCCACTTCTTCACAGGCTTGAGATCCCTAGATTAATACAAAGGATGTTTCTGAAGAACCTTCCGTTTCACCCACCTATTTTTCTACAGCTTCACAATTCCTGTTCCTCCCTCCGACCTTTTGCTAAAATAGACGTTCGCCTTACATTTCTTACTTTGGAATGAGGGGGGAGGGACCTGACACAAAAAAGGAGGAACCCCCCGCACCCCCTACCCCCCCAAAAGAAGAAAAAATAAGCATATTTTAAAACCAGTGAACCGCCTCCGCTCCCATGATAAAGACCTAATCCCGGCGCTTTAAATCGGTGGGCGGGGTTTGTGGAGAAACGTCACCACCGGCTTGTAACCTACCACAGACTTTCTCCTTATAATACTATATAGCTGGTGAGTGCCACCTGGTGGCCAAGGGATGGAAAGGCAGTTGATGCTTATTGGCTGTTGAGCCGCTGCGTGTCAGCGGGGTATATTTCCGTTTCGATAGCAGCAGGGCGGAAGTAGCAGGATGTTGGGGGATTTGCTGTTGTTCGGGTAAGGGGGTGATAGCTTGTTGCCAAGCAACCAGTTTTATTAAGCCGCGGGGAGCGTGGGGTGGGGGTGCGAGGCATAGCTTGTTTTCCTGTTCGGTAAATTCGGCTCTGCGGGACTGAGGAGTGCAAAGGTTGTGTAAATCTGGGACAAGGGACAGTAGAAAATTCCAATCTGCATTCTACGAGGGAAACTGCTTTAGCTAAATTTGTCTGCCCTGCAGCTCTTAAAAGTGCAAAAAAAAAGCAGGAGTAATTGGAATGGGACATCAGGAAAAGCATGGAGGAAGCAGTTATCTCTAACTTGTAGGCCGTTTCTTGCCCCTCACAGCTCAGAAATGTTAAGAATTAAAGTGAAAAAGGCCAAGCCGTTGTATATTCTCACTTTTTTTTTCTTCTTCTGCCACATAGGACTCTGTTGGTCAATGCCGGAGCAGTGTTAAATTTCAGGCTGTAAGTACTGAAAAGCAAGATTTGCTTCGTTGGGAAAATGCAGGCATTCCCACAACTGTAGGAATCGAGTTTTTGTGCTTTCCAGCATGAGGAGGTTTCTGGGAAAAGCTTTTGATTCAAAGATTGCAACATGTGATTTTGGTTATAGAAAAACATCTGGTTTGAGGTTGTTAGATGAGCTTTAGGGAAATTGGCAAAAAACTCCTTTCTAGAGAGCTGTTGTTCCTTAGCGAATTGGATGGATTTGGTAGGACACAACTTTCTGCAAACCAGAGAGCCTCTTTTTAAAATGTAAAGGATGCTTCTATAGCTCCTCCCCAATCTTGGAATAAATATTTTTTCTTGAGTGTGGAGTTATGTCTGCTGACTAAACACATCACACACCCATGTTTTCTTTAGCAAAATATAGACGTAGTTGGTCGTTGCCTTGATTTTCCAATCATAGAGAAATACATGTTGTATTTGTCTCATTTTAAATGATAATCTGGGCAACTAAACTGGTGGGATAGCATGAAACCCTGAGATTTCTTGTTAAATATTAACTCAGTGTAACTCAGCTTTTCAGGATCTGCCATCACTGTCAGGATTCAAATGTAAAGTGAGGGGGTTCAATTATCATTACTTCCAATTAGCAGTTAGCAGTTTTACAAAAGACCTGAAATATGTAACATGTTTCCTATGTTGTTAGGGGTATAAGAAATGCATATCCAACCCAGATATTCTGTTTACTACAATGGCCAAATTAGTGGTTCTATCGGAATATCATAAACTGAATATTATAGCAGTGGGTAAACCAGCTGCAAGTGCTGTTTAAAGGCATGCTGCTTTTGATCATGGAAGTTTCCCTTAATTGGTGGAAGAAGATTCCTGTTGGGTCCTGCCTAAATTGCATTAATCTAGTCCAGCATTTTTTCTGCATGGTTACCTCATTTCTGAAAATTCTTCAAGTGGCCCTTGAAACTTCCTTGTTTTCTTTCTGGGATTCAATAAATTGCTATAATATTCCATTGTTACCTTGGTTAGTAGCTGTCAACACATTTTCTTCTGTCATTGTCTAGTTTAACATATTCCTTTTTTGCCTTAAATTATGAGGCACTACTATGTTGTGGGATTTTTAAAGTAAATCTTTCTTTCTTTGCCTTCCAGGAAGAAGAAAGAAAATCAGAGCTTTGGTGAAGAAGGAAGAGCACCAACAACAGGTAAAAATTCTAGCTGAGATCCTAGTATTGAGGTGTTGTTGTTTTTTAACTTGCTGTGCATCCCCAAAATAGTTGCAATTATTTTTTTTAGTTTTGTTTTGAGATATTGCATAGAAAAATATGAAATAGACTATTTATTGGCATACACATATTGTAATTGTTTCAATTTAAAAGACAACTTGGTCTATTAAACTGGAAACATTGTTTAACAAATTAATTAATAATTACATTTTTACACATCAATGTAAAATTATCAAAAGGTAACACATGTAATATAGTTTCAGATTTAATAGACATTTGGTTTTACTGGACCCCATTTCTCTGTATTTGGACAGTGAAATCAAGATTTTTGTGTAAATTGTTGTTGCCCCCTTCTTGATGAGAATAGTACCAAATTTGCTGTGAGTAGTGCTTTACATATTGTGTTTTTTATTCTGTGGTTTTATTTTAGCCTAATTAATAGAAACTATACTTATTTGAAAGCATTTAGAACAGAATTAAGGTGAACCCCAGAGTTTCTCAAGGCAGAGGTATTTATTGATTTGTCAGCAATTAACAACATTCATTGAGAAGGCTGAGAAACACAGAACAAAACATGAGTTAAGCCATGGGAAATTAAACTACATTGAATATAAAAAAAATAAACTGAAAAAAAACTTCAGATTGATAGAGAGCGATCAAGTGTTCTAATGATTTCTTCCTACTGTGTAATAAAGATACTTGTCAGATAAATTTTCTTCAAATCTGAACCTAGAATTATTCAAGCTATGCTGAGTTGAATGTCTGGGATATTCTGCTGAAGTTCTATGAGTTTGACAGCAAGCAAATATATAGCCACTCAGATACTGAACTTTCTCAATTCTAGGTAGGATGAGCAGTCATGGGAGTTGCTATTCAACAATGTCTAGAGAACTGCCTATCCTGAACTAAAACCAAAGAATACATCATTAAGTCACTATCCTTTGGCCTGACAGCAACTTCCTCTCCCTTCCTACATGTTCTGTAAATATGCTATGGAGATATCTTAGCCATCCAGACAAATCATAGGCATATGAAGAAAGGGGGAGATATTGAATGTCTGCTGGTAGAATGACAACATGCAACCCACTTACAAATATTAAAAAAAATAATGTTCCTAGTGATTATACTGCATAAGACATTGTATCACTGTGCGTACCGGTAGTTCTTTTCATGCTGCACAATTACAAGTTGCTTGTATTTGAAAAATTCCTTTATAACTTGTTTTCTTGTCTCATATTAAAAATTAAAAGTACACTGCTCAAAAAAATAAAGGGAACACTTAAACAACACAATGTAACTGCAAGTCAATCACACTTCTGTGAAATCAAACTGTCCACCTAGGTAGCAACACTGATTGACAATCAATTTCACATGCTGTTGTGCAAATGGAATAGACAACAAGTGGAAAGCATAGGCAGTTAGCAAGACATCCCCAATAAAGGAGTGGTTCTGCAGGTGGTGACCACAGACCACTTCTCAGTTCCTATGCTTTCTGGCTGATGGTTTTGTCACTTTTGAATGCTGGCGATGCTTTCACTCTAGTGGTAGCATGAGACGGAGTCTACAACCCACACAAGTGGCTCAGGTAGTGCAGCTCATCCAGGATGGCACATCAATGCGAGTTGTGGCAAGAAGGTTTGCTGTGTCTTGTCAGCATAGTGTCCAGAGCATGGAGGCACTACCAGGAGACAGGCCAGTACATCAGGAGACGTGGAGGAGGCTGTAGAAGGGCAACAACCCAGCATCAGGACCGCTACCTCCACCTTTGTGCAAGGAGGGACAGGAGGAGCACTGCCAGAGCCCTGCAAAATAACCTCCAGCGGGCCACAAATGTGCATGTGGCTGCTCAAATAGTCAGAAATAGGCTCCATGAGGGTGGTATGTGGGCCTGACGTCCCCAGGTGGGGGTTGTGCTTACAGCCCAACACCGTGCAGGACGTTTGGTATTTGCCAGAGAACACCAAGATTGGCAAATTCGCCACTGGCGCCCTGTGCTCTTCACAGATGAAAGCAGGTTCACACTGAGCACATGCGACAGACATGACAGGGTCTGGAGATGCCGTGGAGAACGTTCTGCTGCCTGCAACATCCTCCAGCATGACCGGTTTGGCAGTGGGTCAGTAATAGTTTGAGGTGGCATTTCTTTAGGGGGCCGCACAGCCTTTCATGTGCTTGCCAGAGGTAGCCTGACTGCCATTAGGTACCGAGATGAGATCCTCAGACCCCTTGTGAGACCGTATGCTGGTGTGGTTGGCCCTGGGTTCCTCCTAATGCAAGACAATGCTAGACCTCATGTGGCTGGAGTGTGTCAGCAGTTCCTGCAAGACGAAGGCATTGATGCTATGGACTGGCTCGCCCGTTCCCCAGACCTGAATCCAATTGAGCACATCTGGGAAATCATGTTTCGCTCCATCCACCAACGCCACGTTGCACCACAGACTGTCCAGGAGTTGGGGGATGCTTTAGTCCAGGTGTGGGAGGAGATCCCTTAGGAGAGCATCTGCCAGCTCATCAGGAGCATGCCCAGGCATTGTAGGGAGATCATACAGGCACGTGGAGGCTACACACACTACTGAGCCTCATTTTGACTTGTTTTAAGGACATTACATCAAAGTTGGATCAGCCTGTAGTGTTTTTTAACACTTTAATTTTGAGTGTAACTCCAAATCCAGACCTCCATGGGTTGCTAAATTTGATTTCCATTGATAATTTTTTTGTGATTTTGTTGTCAGCACATTCAACTATGTAATGAACAAAGTATTTAATAAGAATATTTCATTCATTCAGATCTAGGATGTCTTATTTTTGTGTTCCCTTTATTTTTTCGAGTAGTGTACCTTATTAGTTTTTGGGAATCTAAGAAATCACTCCAAGTGTTTAAGTTAGTCTGGAATCAGTTGGTACCTAAATTAATGACTGAATAAATTATTGCTAGGCGTACACTGAAAGGAATGTGGATGAAACAAGGGATAGTTTTTGCTGTAAATGCAATTTCATTTACTTTCTGACTTCTAGGTGATAATATCAGGGAGTTTCTGTTGAGCTTAAGATACTTTCGGATCTTCATTGCCCTGTGGAATATTTTCATGATGTTTTGCATGATTGTGTAAGTAATCCCAACAAAGATGTCATGTTTATGTCTTCCTTACCTTGTCTTTTTTAATGCTTGGTTTGCACAGTTACATAATATATGGTATTCTTCTTACTACTTTACAGTATCAGCACTTAAGCATGGAACAAGTGGAATCTTGAATTGATAACTGCTGTAGTAATAAATGATTATAAACTATGTGCTTCAATTATTCTAGGTTCATATTGTTCATTTATTGTTTTCACTGTTTTTTATATAATGAGGATATTTTGTAATAAGTTTCAATTGGTTTAACTTATTGGACAGTATAAAAGGACTCTATAATCTTGGTTTGCCTTGTAGGTTTATTATAAGAATAACTGATAAAAATTAGTCATTAACTTTCCTTTTGTTTTTCATTAGGTTGTTTGGATCTTAAACAATTTTGACTGAACTGACAAAGACACCTTAACCTTCGGCAATTTGCAGATGACTTCCAACTGGAAATATAAAATACTCCTAAGTAAAAGATTTGACATCATTTTAGTATTGAGTTCTGGCATATTTTTACTACAAATATCAAAGGAACAGTCCCCATTCCCTCTTTTCCCCTGTTCTTGATTTTCCCCTAGTTTTTGTTTATTTTGTTATTTGGTTAATGAACAAATAAACTTTCAGCCCTGTGAAGGGTTATGCCTGTAGGCATGACACCCATGGAGAACAGAGCTTTTATGTGAAGATATGAAGAAATGTAAGAAGAAATGTACGTTGAAACTTCAACACAAGTACAAAAATGGCATTGCAGTGCATGCTTTATCAGTTGTTGGATTTATATTTAGCCTTTAACCCCACTAAAAGAAAAAATAGTTTTTAGATAGGAGAACATGATAAAACAATTTTGTTTTTAGTATAAATGAGGGGAAAAAAGCTTTAGTACCCTTTGCCTTAAAGCAGTGTTTCTCAATCTTAGCAAATTTAAAGCAGGTGGACTT